GTAGGTTGTTTTAAAGCTGAATGGAAGAAAACAGGGACAATTCAAGTACAGGATTCAATACAGCTCTATTCTTAGGAAATAAGTAGTGCAGGAACCTTATTATGGGGAAAAATAATAAATATACAATAAATCTGATAGAGATATTATAAATAGAGCAATATATGGAGGTCTTCTTAACATAGCTTTGGTTACTGATAAACCAACCATAACCATAGCCCTCTTTATTCAGTATGTGTTGTATTATGACCAGCTGTAGATACACATAAAGTTAAATGAATTTAGCTAAGTCATTAGAATCACTTTGCATCTGACTCTTTGCATCTGTCTCTTCATCTATTTTTTTCTTACTCCTTTCTACCTAAAAATATTCCAGGGCTTAGAAGTATTTTCAGTAACTTGAGCTGGCAATTTATTTTTATTACTATAGCTATTTCAGTTATTTCAAAAGGATAGATATATTGGGTAAATAAAAGTAGGGTATTTGTCACCAATGTAAGATTATTAAGCTTTGTCTGGTGAAGAGATGAAAATACAGAGATTAAAATATTTGATCCAGGTCACCAAGGGAACTAGCACAAACACTGGGGCCTGAATTTATACCTTTCTCATGTTTCCTTTTCTTGGCAACCAGTATTTCATCTAGGGCAAGACTTTTTATATACTTAGTCCGATCTGAAATTACTGTTTTTGTTTTACTGAAGGGGAAATTTAATTGTTTTATCAAAATCATCCTGAATTCATTAGAGTATTACATCAAATGACACTACACCTTGGTCAGTCTATTCTCTCTAGCACACAGTTGGAAGCCATGGCCAGTACACTGTTTTACCAAAGTAAGTGCTCAAGCCAGGAAGACCCCCCTCAGCTATTCTCCTTACCCAATCCACTGAAAAATACTCCCTTTGAATACATTGTATTCAAAATAGGATTAGGCAGACCTATTTCTCTCATCAGGCTACATCAAGATCTCCCACGCTGTCATATATTGAAGAGATCCATCACTAACAATACCAGTATCAAGGAGAGAAGTAGGGTGTTGATTCTTGTGCAACAAAAGTTTTTCATTAGTGTGAATTTTTTAATTACATGCTGATAGAACCAAACCCAGTTCTGAACCTGACTCACTCTGACTCAGTTAAGTTAACTGTTGCAATTTCCAAAAGAACTTTAGTACTCACTGACCTTACTGGGAAGCTTTCAGTTAGTTATGTGGGGTAAAATTCTCTTGCTATTGTCTAAAACGTCCTATTGACTTCTGTGCCCTGTGTGTGTGACTAAAGTAATGCTTGGAAATTCATATGTAAATCTTAAATTCTTTTGTAATGAAAGTAGTACTGATGGACTCTGAAGAATGGTTAGTTACAAAAAGGCAGGGATGATGGCCTAACTGCTCATCTGTGGATTGTCAATAGAGTTAAACGGTGGATTTTCAAGCATATACTGGCTTTTGTTCCTCGTACTTTAAATTTGTCAATTTTTACAGCTTTCATCTGCTAATATTAAATAATAAATCTTAAGCCTTTCATGAATGATGTAATGAAAATGTAATGTAATGTAAAACTTTCTTAGACCATGTTTTGCCAAACAGCATAATCATCCCTTCCACTCAAAAATATGAACTGCAATATGCTGACCCCTCTAAAAAAATTGATTCAGTAATAAAAATAACTTTTTGTGGCCCTGAACAGAAACCACACTTTTTGAACTTGGTATGTGACCTTTGGCTAAACACTTGTTTATTCATCCCTCTAGAGATGAGTAACAGCAGTTACCTCTCAGAGAAAGAGGCTTAAGACTCAAACCTGCGTTCATGCAGGCAGGGAGCTCTGCAGCTGTGCAGTGCTGCTGCTGCCTGTGCAAATATGTACAATGCCATGGGACCTGGGCCATAGCTCTGGTGGGTGGTAGTAAGTCTGGCAACAGGCAGACTGCAATGCAGTAGCCAGGAGACACATGCAGCAATGGATGTGAAGAGATAATCCAGTCCAAACTCACTAAACTCTAAACTGTTCAAGGAATTTTGGTGTGTTTGCTCTGTATCAGCAGGTTTTGGGCTAGATCAACCATAATCTCTCACCCTCATGCTAGTTTAAAATTTGTTGTCCACTTTGGTTACTTTGTCAAGAATGTGACCATCTATCTATCAAGCGAAATTTGGATCTATGCGATGAGCTGGTGATATTGAAATCTAAGGTCTAAGAAAAGGGGTCAACAAGACTGTGTTTAAATAAAATGGTAAATGCAGTGTTAAGCCAGACTAGAGTCAATCCAGCTGCTGAAATGAATCTAAGTCTTTCCAATGATTCAAATACACTTTTAAAATTTTTTTTTCTTGAAAGGATAATTTATGCCAGCAGACTTTCTGTTATAAAGAATCATCTGACCTCCTTTTGTTAATCAGCTGCCAGGATAGAAACCTGAAGGTGACAAACACTGTGTAACTTCCTCTACCAGCCTGACAGGGTATGGCTGTGGATTTATGAACACTTTGTCATTCTGCTGGGGTGATGGGAAAGTGCAGGGTGCTGCATCTATGACTCTGAAACCATGATCCTGGTCCATGGTGAGCTCTGTGTTGTCAGGTTGCCCGTGCAAACTAGCCTGATAGCCCTTTGAAAACCTGACCTGAAAGAGGAAATAAAGAGAAGGAAAAAAACCAAAATAGGGAATCAACAAACAATTGGTCTGAATCTCCTTATCAAATCACTTTTATCACTATAAAATTGTAACAAAAGAAAAACTAACTCACAGAGCATCTAAAGACTTGCAAAGGAGCAGTGTTATTTTTTGATTTGGCGTTGCTAGAAATCAGACAGAGGTTTTTTTTTATTATTATTGCTTTTGTCAATGAGTATTTTTTTTAACAAAAATACCTTATTCTGTAAACAGAACTTCTAATTGCATTATTCCAATTGACTACTAGTTAATCTCATCTCAAATAGACAAGTTCGAGATGAAGAAATCACGAGAAAAATCAACTCAAAGGCAGTTGCAATCTGGGTTTGGAAAAAGTAGCACAGGTAAGCAATATGGCTGCAAATCCCTTTGAGTAACCATTGACACATTGCCTTCCCCAGTCAGTCCCATTTTATGTGTCCAGAGCAGGCTGTAAAGCAGTTGGTATGGGAGGATATCATGTAATAAAAGAACAGAGAGTCACTGCAATGTTGTCTTGCTTAAAAAAATAAATGGATTTGTCATTTAGAAAATTACAAAAAATATTAAGAATTAATAATGGAATTGTTGGATTGGCAATTTGCTAGCAAGTGACCATCTCAGCATGCCTTACTCACTAAATATGGTACTTATCTGATCCAAATCAGGCAGAGGGACTGGCCCAAGATGTGTGACAGAGAAGGATGACAGCAGATGACTGCTCCAAACACCAACCGGGAGAGACATTTGCTTTCCAGCCCGCACTGTTGGGAAGTGTCATGTGTAGTTAAGACTGAAGCGTTGTTACATTAACCCTTGTGAAACCATTAGCAGGGCACATAGCAAGGTCCATCTGTTTACTCAGGCCTCTAAGAGGGGGGAGAGTTGCTTTTCGGGTGTTCTTTAAGCATGAACGGCACACAGTTCAATGAGGAATTAGGAAACTTCTGGTTGTTGTACCAATATTAAAGCTGTGAGGAATTGCATTTTAATCTTTCAAGTAGGCAGAGAGGTTAGCTGATAGGCTTTATACTTCACAAACTAAAAAGTAAATAAATAAATCAGCTAAAATGAGTTGACCTTATAATAAAGAACTAAAACTACACTTTCAATCACTATGTAACAAAAAGAATGAACAAATTATTATTTTTTAGATATACATGCAAAGAGATAATTTTTTTTAAACTACTGATTCCCAAAACTAGAACTAGAATTAAAACTCTTCCTGATTCCATGCAGGAGCCTGCAGCAGTGTGTGTGTCAGAAGGCAGCTGTTTGTGCCATGGTGGGAAAGCTGGGTGCTGCACCTCTGGGTGCTGCACAGCCATGCACAAAACTGACAGCCGCTGTCCCAAAGAGCTTACATTTCAAGTACATGAGTAGGGATAACAGATGGATAGAGATGAGAAATGATGAAAACAATGGGATACTGGAAAGGCTGAAATCCCAGCTGCTTCCTCGGTCTCTAATATTGCCAAGTTAAAATTTCACAGTCTTATTGTCACAGCAGAGTTTACTCTGTTTTTTCCCACTGAGGAAGAGGAGCAGTAAGACCTTCGTGCATGTTACAAAAGGGCTTCAGGCTGGAATTTGCTGCTGAACCAGATAGTATTGTGATAGACCCAATAAAAACTGGTTTCTCCACGTCTCCTGTCGCTGCTTTGTTAATGGAAAAGTGGTTGTAGGCAGAGTTACATGCTCAGTGGTACAGAACGGTGGAGGTTGGTGTGCTGGGTACACAGTTTGGAAGTCAGCCCTTTAATCTCTGAGCAGGGGCTAGCTTTCAGTGGAAGCTTACATGGGCTTCAGGAGGCAGACAGGACACAGTGACACATTTCCCTTGAGGAAAGCGAGCCTGAGATACAGCTGATGGCTTAATACAGCTCCCAGCCAAGAGCAGCATGGCAGAAGTAACCTCTTACGGTGAAACGGCCTCCACACCCAAAGACGCTTTAAGAGAGGGATTCAGAAATAAAAACCCCAAATGCCAACACTGGGACAAGTGTGGTTGAAGGCAGTCCTCAGTTGCTGCTAAGCTTGCCACAAGGTTGTGACTCAGAGCCACCACTGAGGCGGGGTGAAGCGCCCGGCCGCCGCTCCACCACACGGGTCGGCCGCCGCTCCCAGGCAGGATGCTGGGAAAGCTTCCGAACCGCCGCTCCTCTCCGGACCTGTTGGAGCGGGAAGCCCAGGAAGTTTCTCCTCGGCACTTTCCCAAGCAAAGAGCCGGCTCGGGGCGGGCGGGGTCACAGGCACTTGGGGGGCGAGCGGCCAGCGGGGCGGGCCGCGGCCCGGGCCGGCGGGAGGAGGGGACCGGGAGGGGGCGGCCGGAGCGGCCGCCGCCGGGATGGGAGAGTGGCGGGGGGCGAGTCCGCGGCCGGAGGAGCCTGGCTGCGGGTCGGTCGTGGGGGCTGCTGCTGGAGGGGCTGAGCCCGCCATGGAGCCGGTGACCAGGTGGAGCCCGAAGCAAGTGGGTGACTGGACTAAGGGTAAGAGGGCGCCGGCCCTGGGCGCCGGGGGAACTTTCCGGCGATTGGCTCGGGGGTGCCCCGGTGCCGCCGCGGCTGCTCTGCCCGGCGGGCCAGCGGGCCAGCGGGGCCTCGGCCAGCGCTAGCCCCAGCGCCAGCCCCAGCCCCGGCTGCGCGGCCGCGCCCCCGGCTGAGCCCCGGGACTGCCCGGCGTGGCGCTCGGGAGTCGGCGGCTTTCCGCGCCCTCCTGCCTTGGCTCCCTACCTGTTCGTGCGCTTGTGCCTGCTTCGCCTTGTGGTTTTGTTGTTGTTAAGTTTTGGTTTTGTTTTTTACATGGGAAAAGGGGAAGGTTTTGAAGCGAGTTTTGCAAGGAGGATGGCTGACTCGAGGTACGCGTATATACACTGGGGTCCTAACTCATGGCTCGGTCCCCTTCTCCTGTGCTTATGCTGGCCAGCTTGCTTGCATAGACAGGGGGTAACTGTGCTCCTTCAGGCAGGTAAAATCGCGGAATCGTAGAGGCGTTTAGGTCTGAAAAGCCCCACGTAAGTCAGCTTTCAGCTTCTCAAGGAAAACCCATTCACGGTTCGAAAAAACTTCAGGTTTGCAAGTTAAGCTAAAAGTTTATAAAGTAGCTCAAGGAAGCGAGGACTCTTAATACTGTTTAACGGTGCTGGGATTGAAACGCAAGACTCCCGCTCGGAGAGTTAAATAGCGGCCCCTTCGTCCGTTTGTCCGCCCGTCCATCCTTCCCACCCCTCATCTCTCGCATGTATGCTTGTGTCTCTCCCTCCCCCGCCTACTAAAACTTCCTCCTCTGCTTCGAGGTTTGTTCACAGTGTTGACGTAGCTGCGAAAGCCTCAGCGAGACCGAGGTGTGGAGCCTGCCCGCCCCTGCGCCCGGGCCCCGGGGTCTCTGATGGGACGGAGGCGGCGGGACCAGGGGTCTTCGCTCCTGCCGTGGGGATTTCGGCAGCGTTGGGTGTTATCGGGTCTCTCTTTGAAGGCAGATTAATCCTCCTGCTGTCAGTTCTGGTTGGACCCTGCTAGTGCTTTCCGAATGACGATTGGGGTATTGCTGTTGCAGTTCCCGCTCTACTGGGAATGAACCAAAAGGGAAATAAAGCTATGAATTAGGTGAGGGATTTATGACTTCTGAAGTGTACGTCTCCTTTTCTTGTAGGACTAGATTTAGCGTGATCCTCTTATGTTACACAAAGTATTTTCACAGGCGTCGTTGGAGTTGAAGTTGATGAGAAGTTAGGAATGTTTTCAGAGGTGAAAGTTTCCTCGCATAAGAAGCGGCATTTACTTACAGCAGCCATTACTGCTCTGTCTCAGGACCATAATGCTGATTGGAGTGCATGCCTGTGGTCAGCACTTGGCAGTAGTGCGGCTCAAAACTGAGGCAAATTTGGAAAGCAGACTCATGTCTTCAGACAGAGAGAGATGGATACTCCCAGCCCTCCTGAGAACGTGAACATGTGCGTGAAGGAGCCGGTGCCAGTGAGGGACCTTCCAAGTAGCCTTTGTGAGGAGAGAATTCCACACAAACGTGCTGTGAAGTTATGCGTTAACATATAAATAACTTCCAGAGAAAGATCTCTCTCCTTTTTCCTTTATGCTTGGTATTGGTTTAAACAGGAGTGCATTGTTCCAATGTAATAAGCCTTTTGCTTTGGTATGTGCAATATTTATATAAAGCTTTTCCCTCATTGTATTTTTTTCTCTTGGGTGCTGAAAGTTGGTTAGCTTGCCAGATCAAAGAGTAAACCTGCTAATCATTTTAAAAGCCTTTATTATACTTAAGCATGCTTGGCTTCCTTTCTTGCATAATTTATTTTACTCGCAGGTTCCTTGAACAGGTAACTCTTTAGCTGGACCCTAAATTAGTGTTATGGAAAATGATTTGAGGGCTGGCCGTAGTTGGGAGGTGGGTCTTCTGACTAATGGAAACACGTGTCCTTTGAAATGTAAAGAAATAAATTGAAGACTGCTGATGACTTTTGTTTGTGCTGTTGTTTTTCAGTTTCTGGGTAAGCTTTCGACCTCTTTGGTGCACAGAGTCATTTTATGTCACTCCCTGCATGACAAGACTGTAATAAAGAAATGAGATGTGGAAAGTTTTTCTTTATGGTTCTGCTTTCATCTCTGCACATTAAAATAGACACTTTAATAGTTAACTAACAGCCTTATTAGCACAATGTTTCATAGTTTATTTTTAATCTGAAATAGCTTTTTACTGTGTAGTTCACAACCACTGGATTTCATGTTTGACCAAGACCAATATTCTGTATTTTACCTTATGAATACTACATTTAATTCTGAAGGTTGGTTTTATAAAACAAGCGGTTGGAGGGGAGCTTATGCCATTTGCTTTCTTGCACATATCATCTCTGAAGAGTGATACCGTGATCTTCACTGAACTGGTCAAACTCTAGGGTAAGGTATTTGGCTGGTGATATCCACTACCAGTAGTTAGTGCTGTGGTACCATGGAGATCTTTTTTAGGGGCATGACGTAAATAACTGTGGTGGGATATGCCAGCTCTCAGTAGGGAGATTGGTTTTGCAGATAATGATTCTTGCTTATCATACAATGATAAAAATATCTTGGAGAAATATAGAGGGTGGTGAAAATTAGTGGTCTCAATCTGTTTTAATGTTCATCGTGAAACTGAGAATATTTGTCTAGGACCTGTTTTTTCCCTCCCTTCCAAATCTTTTTACAGTCAAACTTTGATAAATTATTTTTAATAACTTTTCCAAACCAGAAAAAATATGGAAATTTCCCCCTGTTCATAAAACAAATCCCTGAAAGTAAAATCCTAAAGTAGGCTGTATAACTACTTCTGGACAGCTTATTTGCTCTTGGTCAACTTACCTTTTTTTTTTTTTTTGTTTAGTCATTTGGAACTAACTTTTTTTTTAACAAGGTAATTCTTATTCTGATGAGTTTTGCTCTGTGATTTTGAGCTGTTCACTCCTTGGTAAATACTGTAAATAGCATTTATGTAGAATTTAAAATAGAACCTATCAAAAGTTAGTAAGCAGAACATAAGTATATATTTGTAGTCAGGTTTAAAATAAAAAGTGCTCTGTTCATTGCTACCAACAAGAACTGATACAAAACACAGTTGCTTGTTTTCTCTTGCTAACTCAGACTAGAGTGCTGCTATTTTTTGTGAACAAGGGTGTTTTTTCTGGCACGGTGCACTGTATTGTCACTAGTGGGCTGTGCAACTGGTCTAGTTAAATTGAAGCTGCAGAGGAAGAGTTGTGCTTTTATTGCTAGCAATTTTCTTTGTACATGAAGCATTTATCAAGCTTTGACCAAGGATGTCATAACTTTTTAGCTACAGCATCAATGTTTGAAAACTATACCTGATTTTTTTTTTTTTCTTAAACACCACCTCAATTTCTGTCTGGAAGGAGTGATGATGTAGTTTTAGGTTTCTCTTCCAGTGCAACAAATTCAGATAGTATTTAGAGGTCATATTTAGCCTTGAAAAGGTACATATTTGGCTAGGATGCTGTGATGATTTACTTCTGGCTGGATTTATGCTCTTTAAACAATATTGTCTGCACTGTTTTCCTGACTATACTGAGAAGATGTGTTTGGGTCTTGATTTTTTTTTTTTTTGAGTTGGTGGTTCTTGTTGAGGTATAAGCTAACATCTGGATGGTGTTGCAGTTGACCTGTGGTCTTGCTTCTGTGCAGTCTAAGATGCCTGGGGGCTCAAAGCCCTCACCTGTATCTTGCAGCACTCCCTTGAGTGCCCACAAGCCTGAATTCCTCCAGAACTCCTCTAGAGGTATTCCAGGAGTTATTCAGGTGGTTGTGGAGCAGGTGAGTGGCCATGGAAGTTGTAGGACATCTGTAGTACACTGCACAAAAGTGACTTAGTTTTACTGGTGCAGCAGCAATTTGAAGGAGACAGAGGGATCTGATGATGCAGAGAAACTTTTTCAGGCCTCGGAGTCCCCTGGCTGCTGGAAACCCCTCAGCTACAATCATCCCTCAAAAGATGTGAGGAAGACGAAAGCTGCATTTGGCATAGAGGCTCCTGTGTGAGAAATGTCACCCTTGCTAGGGAACATCACTGTGCCTCCTCTTTGTTTGCTGTAGCCTGATCTGTCTCTTCCCCCTACTCTCAAGCCTCACATACTTATGTGAGTTGTAACTTCAAGCCAAATTTTACACGGTAAGAACAGTTTGACGCGCTTGTGGTTTAGAAGCCTCTGTTGTTGTGAGGCTCCATTACACTCTGGCCCTTGTCGCTGTAGCTGTAGTCTCGGCTGGCTGGGGATCACGCGTCTGCTTTGGCCTCCTTATTGCACTCCAGGTTCAGTTATTCCCTTTCTTAGTAGTTCAGGAACATTACTTATTCCTGCATCTGTTATGTCATGAAATGCTCAGATTTCCATTCCTGGTAAAGCTGTTGGACAACTACACTTATAGGTATGCCTGGGAGAAGAGGGAAAAATATGCTAATTTATTAATAGTTAGCAATTAATCGTGAGGGTCTGGTGTTCTTTTTTTAGAGCTATCTTGCTTATCCAGGGAGATTTCAGCAAGGTCAGTTGTGTTAACTGTGTGGGCTGGGAGCTGCAAACCATAGGTGGATTTTAGAAACAGCTATGGGTGATGCTTAGGATTGGAGTTATTTTTTTAGCCTTCCTTTTTTTTTTTTTTTTAGGCACTCTCAAATTAATGCTATGGGGTTAAAATTATTTGGGAAAATCTAACACTAAGAAACCTCCTGGTTATTTTTTAATACAGGAGTATTTTCCTTTCAGTGGGGAACAGCAGGGAGAGCTGCCCATAACTGGGGCAACAGAAGAATCCCTTTCATCTGTTTTCTTGGTTACTCAAAAAATACTCTATATGAGTGTTTGTTAAATAGAACAGAAAATAGTATTGAATAACCACTCTTTGCAGATCTGAGCTGAAATTCTGAATCTAGCTGGCCCATAATGTTCTACTAGCAGAAGGTGAATATACTACATACATCTATTTAT